CCCCGTGGACACCCGGTTTCCATGGAGACAAACAGGAACCTACAGTACAGTACAATCATAACAAACATGTACAGAGGTGTTTCCCGGTGTTTACGCAACACAAACACTGTCACAAGGATTTACATACTGGAAACAAACATGAGATGTGTAAAACGACACTAAAGCATAAAGCAAAGGACTGTGATTTAATTCTGCACACAGAACGTACAAATGAAATTAAGATTAGTTGAGCTAAAAATACCAGATACATTGAAAAAAAAAAGATATAGGATTTACTCAGAAATTGCAAGTAAATTTCACAAATAATTACAAAGAAACGGCAAGTAGCATTGAAATAAACATGAAATTTTGAAGTAGAAAGACTACAATAATCTTTGTAGTACAGCAAAATGCAATGCAATGCAATAAAGTAAAATAAAACAAAATGCAATGCAGTAAAATGAAATGCAATGCAATAAAAAAAACAAAAGTAGAAAGCAAACAGAGCATGCAATAAAATAATAAAATAAAAGTCTAAAAAATAATTGTATTTACTCAGGAAAAAAAAAAGAAAATTTCACAAATAACTACAAAGAAACCATACAAAACATATGAAGAGTTCAGATGCAAAAGCCTCTAAGTACGTGTGACGTTTTTCTTTAAAATTAGCATTTCTTTCTGGCTACTATGTATAGGTTTCTATGTAAGTACTGGTACTTCTGAATGGGTTGAGGCTGGGATTTAACGCATTTGAAGTGAAAGTACTTGAAGAATATATACCATGTGTGGAGAGCATTCACTCAGTATCATTATCTCATTTTTGACCAAGATGGCTTTTAGAGGCTTTTGCATTGGAACTCTTCATATAATTAAGTAGAAAAACTGAAACAGTATCAAATATGCTCCAGTAATCATTGTCATATTTATATTGTTTTTGTTTGTTTTTTGCAGTGTAACTAAGCCACTATATAAAAATTTTTTTGACAAAGACTGTATAGCGATGCACAGACTGAACTTACTAATACTCAGTGGTTTGATGACTTCACGAACACTAAACAGGAGCAATGATAAACAAACACATTCCAACACTGATTCTTAGATCCAGACGCTGAACTCTCTTCTGATTCCCTAAGAATCACATTCCTCACCGGAACTCAGATGTGTGATAGAGAGACAAGTCTCAACAGGTTAAAAAGCATGAGGGGATTTCCACATATACACAGTCAGAAAACCCCTCCAACTCAACCTTCACTAACCACCACCATCCCTAAGACCACACATTATTGATCCCGTTGAGTTTGGGAGTCTATCCTGTGGCATTATGATAACAGTAGATCCAGTGGATGTGATGTTAATGGGGTTAGAGCTAATCAATAGAGCTTACCAAACATTTACAAAGCTTTGTTCATCAAGGGAACGCAAGATGTTCACTGTAAGAAACACAAGACTTGAGCTTTCCTGCAATGGAAGATGACGATTTTGATATTGATTGATTTCTGCTGTTTGACATTTTGTGTGACGAAGAGGACAGTGATAAAAGAACAGCCATTCTTGTCTCAGCAGGTAAATGTCCCTGTTAAAAAAAAATCCAGTTTCCAATTTTGTCAAATAAATCTATTTTAAAGGTTGACATTGTCAACATTATAAATACGTAAATTTATAGTTCATTTAGTAGGAACAACTTATATTATTAAAATTATTAAGCAGGAGCTTAAAATGTCAGGCTTTGTCAGGTCCAACTAACTGATCGCAGATGATGCTCCTGAATAACTTTTTTTTTTTTGTCAAAGTATTCTTATTTCAGTTTTGATGACAAACATTTATTACTAAGGTTTAACATATTTAACTCTTTAGTGTTTTTTTTATTACATTTCATTGTAACAGTTCCGTTTTGTTTCAAGTCACTATTAGAGTGAATAAGGTTTTCAATAAGTATTGTGTACTGAATTCTCGGTTTGGTCTACACAAGTTAAAGTAACTGAGTATAATTATAATTTTAATAATTGTAATTAAGTTAAACTAATACAACATACACTATTCTCGAAAGTTCCAAAGCTTAGCAAGCTTAGCTGTCTTTTTGAAAGTTTTTGAGTTTCCAACTTATTTCGACCGAAATTAAGAAATATATCGTGATATCAATTTTGGCCATATCGTCTAGGCCTAAAAGAAAGAATTATACAGATTACAAATGTCGATTTTAATTTTTAATAAGTTGCTCAGAGGTTGCAAAGGAATCTGAGGGTACGTTGTAGGGATGTAACGATTACCGGTTTGACGATAAATCATGATAAAATGTTGTAAATATGATGTTAACCATATTTTCTACTGATTGAGAGAGGAAATACCGCAGTATATTGACTTAGAATGCCCTATTTTACTGTCATGATGAGTGAATATTGTCAAAAAATACCACACTTAATAGTGACTAAACACGACCCCTTTTAATAGTTCGCGGGACAGCACTGGCAAAATCTTCCAACTGAACCATAGCTAAAAAAAAGTCGCTAGGTTTGTCAGTATGAATATTCCATGGGGAAAAAAAGGCGCTAAAAGGGTCTGAAAGTTGCTAAATCTAGTGCTAAAGTCGCGCTCGTGTGTGTGAGACACGGGAGCTGATGGCAGGGGGCGGTGGATATTTGTGGCGGTCAGTGTGGATATTGTGGATGAGTTTTTCTGTGTCATCACGTTCTATTAGTTCTACAGCTTCAGTTTCGGAACTTTCACGCTTAGTAACACGTATTCGGTATGAACCGGTATACCGCCCAGCACTACGCGCAACACTGTAAAAATGTGGAAAAAGAAATATGATGGAACAAATAAGCCCTAATATTAATTAGTCAGTATTACTGGCCTGATAATAATAATAGTCTTGCTATTGTCAAAGGCATCAGCCACAGGCGATATCGTCAATCGATACTATAATCTATCGGCACAACCCTAATATGGATGATAAAGCATTCTGAGTGGTTTTAAGCACATTGCCATGTAGTTGCTACAGTCTTTTGGGTGGATGCTAGGGCATTGCTAATTGGTTGCTATGGTGTTGTTATGCACTGCTATCTGCTCTTTGCTATGCAACTACCAGAATGTACTTTATATAAGTGCGACCTGATGCAGTGATGTGATTCATGACAACTCGCTTTTCTATAATTGGCCATTAGCAGGAAGCGTTTCATACAAAGCCCTCACAGTGAATGCTGACTAACAAGCGAAAGGGAAACCTCTGCAAACAGGCCAAAAACTGGAACGTTGAACACAAAGTAGGAAGCCACAGAAGCAAGGTCACACAAAGATAAACTCGTTTGAGAGAAGAAACAGGAAGTGCTTCTGGAGCAAAAGTCAAACCCACTCAAATTTCATTCGACTCCAGTAGCAGGTCATGAGAGGCCAAGAGAGGCTCATTTCAAAGGACATGCATGGTAAAATGGGGCATTTTATGCCTTCCCAAAGTGTTACTTTATTTACAAAATAAACTCACAGTAAACAGAGGCAGAAAAGTGAATGGGTGCAGCGTGCATCGCTGGTTCGTTCCCAGACTCATGCTCCCTCGGTTAGTTAACCTGCCTTTCAACTTGTTTGCCTGAAAGTTCCCAGTGTTCATTGAGGCGCACGCACGGCATGAAACAGGTTTCCTCTGTGATCCCAGCGTGAGACAGACTCAACGTACACATCTGAACGCATGGATCAACACCGCTGGCCCAGGGATTGATGGGAAGGGAACTCCACAAAGCATACTTTGAGGACACAACTTGCTCTGTAAGCATTAAACTAAACAAGTACAACACCCATCACAATGTCTAAATTCTAGTGTTTGCAAGCACAAACAATACTGTAAATTAGTGATGTGATCAGCACGCTAAGTATTAAATACTAAGTACACACTTCAGTGTGTGTCCGGAATGATTCCTCAAATGAGAAAAGCCTACTAAAAGGTTCTTTTGACTAACCATCACGAAATCACCCACAATGCTCTGATAATATTTTAATTCATCAAAATAAATTCAAATGACATTCTGAAGGCTTCTTACTAAATTTGGAGATAGTCATTTTATATTCTTATTTTTAAAGAAATTAAAATTGCGATCACTAAAGTAAATTTGGGAATAAATGTCTGTATTTTAATTACGGCGTGAAATGTTGTTTACAAATCTGAAGATGGAAAATATGAAGCAAAAACTGTAGCTTTCAGGATATTTTGGCAGAAATGATGATTACCGTGGTCAATCTGCTAAAAGACTTTGGAAATCCGTGCCGAGGCGTGTGCTTACAGTGGGCCAGCAGATGTAGGTTAGTCGAGTAATCCCTGAGGTTCAGATGTTAGTAGGTTAAACTGCATTGACTGTCTGTGTGTGTGTGTGTGTGTGTTAGCCGAATCAAGAATTAATGTGACAGGGAAAGTCCATAATGTCCTGCACACCCACTGAAAATACAACATCACGTGAAAATGAATGCAATTATGATAAAAGGTCAATGTTGGTGCTTCATCAAGTTCTGTTACAAGTCCATACATCAATATGCTGCGTTGCATTAGTTAAAAGCAGGCTGAGGGAAAAGCAATGTGACCCTTACACAACTGTCCTGTGGTCACACCATAGTAAAATACCATGGTAGTAGTGTAAGGTATTTTAAAAAACCACCGTATTACTAAGGTGCCACAATTACAACAAGGTATATTTTTGGACACAAGCCACTGCATTCTTGGAAGTACCTTAGAGTGCCATTTAAATAAATACCATCACACATGGTGCTCCCGCAGTACTTTTGCAGGATCAAGCAAAACATGGTATTACCACAGTATTTTAGTCAAACGTAAAAGTGCAGACGCAGTATGGTAAAGCACTATAATAAATCTTTGATGTTCAGATGTGAGGAGTGGCAGCAGCGGCGGCTCATGAGATTTAATGGAGTAACCATAGAAACAGCTACACTTTATCAGCGTGTCTAGCGATCGTGCGGTTAATAGTAACTCTCATTCGCTGCCGGTTTATTGCGTGAGCCAATAAAATAACCCGGATTCTTACCTTAACTGTTGAATTAAAACTCGTTGTGACTGGATAGCTCCGTGACTGTGTTGTTAAATGATATCACGCGAAAATAAAGCGCAATGCAGCGGCTTTAGTCGCCATGAGTCGGTGGTTAATCGCGGAAAGCGCTGCAATCCACCGTCTTCCCGGACGCCATGACTGAACGAAGTGGATCCCAAACTGATTTCATACAATAAAACACCGCCTCCAACCTCCAACACCCGCACTACAGCCTCATGAATGCCGTGATGAGAACAGCGACACCTGGCGGTGGATTTAAACTTCAGCTGCTCAACAAGTCCCGAAGCATTCCTACTGGAATCTCTTCCACACCAAAGTTCAAAAATGTACCATGTTTTGGGGCATCATGTAGCATGGTAGTACCATGGTGTTCTTGGAAGAGCTTGATACCACATTATTACCATCTGACACCATTATTGTACTGCAGTACGTTTTGTACGGCATGGTAAATGAATCAAATGATACCACTGGATACTATACCTATAAAGGATCGATTTACCGCGATAAAACCAGTACATTTTTACATCCCAATGACTGTAGGACATCACATTCAAATAAAACATCTTTCAGTGTATTTATCCAATCTTCTAAAGAACTGTGATGAGCAACAGCGCCACCAAGCTGGGGATTCTGCCATTCACATCACTTGAAAAAAATTCTCAAGCATTATTAAAGGCAGAGTAAGTGATTTCTGGTAGCCAAACAAACACGCCCCTACCCCAAAAGGGTCTTGCCCCTATTTTGATAGCTCCGCCCCACGTATACGTACGCAACCCAGGCAACGATTAGTTCTGTGAAACAAAGCAAAACCAATGTTACACCGTGTCTACATCGGACGTGAGCGGAGCGGCGCGGCGCAACAAATCCCCGACAGAAAACTGCTGCCGGGTTCTATTGATGACGTGCTGACACAAATTTCAAATTTTCAACGATCGTTTGCTCGCGTCCAGTGTAGGCAGACTTTAGCTGTTGTAGACACGGTGTTACTCACCTATTGAGAAGAAACAAAGCAACCTCGGCGTCCGATCGCAGGCCTCCGCTCCTTAAGTTCTGATCCGATATTTACACGGGTCCTACTTCTTGCCTTATCGTTTCACAGACGTTTTCCTCTTTTGTTTTTTATCCGCCATCTCTATCTTTCTGTCGCTCGGCTCGGCTAATGTCCGTCCCATGCACTGAAAGCTCTCTCCTCCACATCACGAGTAGACACGGCCCTTATTGCTGATTGGCTACAAGTTTGTTTTGCTATTCGGCCCGAATCAGTTTTCTAAAGTGTTTTTGAAAAATCACATACCCTGCCTTTAATATCGGAATACATGGGCATTTCTTTAGTCATTTTTAAGTAAAGGAATTGGGATCTATGCACTTGTAATCAGAAAGGGATCCAACATAAACTATATAGTTCCCTGTAAATATATATTTTCAGCGTGCATATTGCGAATTGTCCTACTTAACCATTGTTGGATGTAATGCATTACTAAGTAGCCTAATTAATTGCAGTAATTTAATTTCTTTTCCCTTGAAAAGGTAAAGTAAGGGATCGTGATTTTTCTGTAATTACTGTTACTTCTGATGTAGATAATTGCATCAAATACTGTAGACTATAAAACAGTCTATTATAACACAGACTATAAAACACTTCTATATAAAACAATAGTGGGTTTAACTTAAAAAATTAGCATCTCGTGTAAAAAATGAAACAGGAAAAAACAGTCTCAGTGTCAGTCTCGCTTTCAGGTAGAATTACAAGTTGATAAAGTAAAGTAAGGGATCGTGATTTTTCTGTAATTACTGTTACTTCTGATGTAGATAATTGCATCAAATACTGTAGACTATAAAACAGTCTATTATAACACAGACTATAAAACACTTCTATATAAAACAATAGTGGGTTTAACTTAAAAAATTAGCATCTCGTGTAAAAAATTAAACAGGAAAAAACAGTCTCAGTGTCAGTCTCGCTTTCAGGTAGAATTACAAGTTGATTTTCTGCAGCTGTCCAATGTGGAGCTAGCTTATAATGTAATCTTTTTATTACTAAGTGAATGCAAAAATAAATAAAGAAATACAAATAAAGAAAAAATAATTAGTGATAGTTTGGTTTGCATAGATTAAAGCTTGATCTAGCTCAGGACTGATTTGATTACAATAACACCATAAGGTGTTTTAAGAGATAATGCTGTGAATAAAATAATTTATCGAAAATAAAATGTCTTAGCACTTTATTTTGTTATGACTTACAAAAGGAGATGTTAGACAGAATGATGCATCATTCTGTCAGTTATTTCTTCATACAGTTAATTAAATGTACGCCAAACATATATTTATTTGTATTGTAAAAAATAATTGTAATTGTACAATAGTAATATAATTGTTTGACATTTGCCATTCACTTCAAAGCTGAAGTGGTTACCTTGTGATTACCTACAATTGTTAAGTTCTAAACAACACTACAATTCATTGATCATGCTGTACTTCAGTCCATCACAGCCGCATTTTCATTCCGTCATAAATCAAAACTTAAATTTGGCACCAATTTGAGTAAGATTACGGAGCCCCTGCAGATTAAGGTTAATTTAGAATCGTGTGCAAGTTCCTATTGAATAAAACACATTTAAACACTGTGATCAAGTAAAAATTGAATTTATGTCTCATTGATATCGATTCTCAAGGTTTCTGAAGGTGAATTTTTAAAGGTGAATTTAAGACTTTTCAAGACCAAGACAATTTTAGGGAATAAACTGAATGGAACACAAATCTTTAAATGTAAATGCCTTGTGTTAGCAAAGCTTCAAAGTTTGAAAATACAACTTCCAACAGATCTCCATTCTACTTTTTAATTCATTTGACTATATATATATATATATATATATATATATATACA